GGAGAGTCCACATGACCACCTCATACTAATCATTAAATTCTTATATTTGATATAAGATATGCCTAATGGGCTTTTATATCATAAAACATTGTTACAATTTATTTAAAGTCAGGACTTTACATTGAAAGCAGTACAACAGGGTAAAAATAGTAACACGTTCCCCACAGCTGCCAGTCATCAGACCTGTCAATCATCTGCCAAAATGTCCTGCAGTCTGGCCTCCTGCCAGGTGTGCCAGGGTTCTGTGTGGCCTGGGGGACCACTTTTCACAAGGCTCTGCATCATCAAAGAGAGTAGGGCTCTGTACAATTCGACCCAAAACAAAAGACCCACAAACTCTTCTCAGAAACAAGATTCCGGAACATTCAGCATCACTACGAAGATTATCAAAGACCATTCTTAGGTATATATATATTTTTATTTAAAACACTTCCTTATAGTTTCTCCCACTTTTCCCAATCACACACACACACACACGCATACGCACACACTCCTAAGTTCACTAGAACATTCCATCCAGCTGCCAAATTTTTACCAAAGTCACCTTCTTGCCTGGCTGGTTTTTAAAGAGGAAAACCCCATACCCTTGAGACAGGTGTATGGAAAAGACATGTAAAGAACACACATTTCTGCACAGGATCCCCTCTCTGTGATGCCACCGCCACCGCCCCTCCAAATATATGATGTTCCTTTTGGAGAAATCATGTACTCAAAATTAGGCTCCTTTTAAACCATGCTCATCATTTAAAAATACATACAATGATTTGCAAGCTTCTAGTTTAAATGGTCAGTGCTTCAAAAATCTAGTGACATTTCAAGGAAATAAAAGAGTCGTGACTTTTAGAAGAACCAATGGCACAAACAACCCACTTTCAGTGACGTGCAAAGGGCATGACGGTCTCCATCTCAAAGGGCAGACTCTTTTGAACGCCTATTCTAAAATCCCATCACAGCTGCCCCCTTTTAAGGTACACCCCAGTACAGTCTGTGGCCTGCCCGGTGGCTGGCTCTTATCCAACACCACCTCAATTTCTAGACAAAAGCAGTCCCTTAGAATGGGCAGATGGCAGTGTTTCCAGGAAGTGCCTGAGCTCTACTCTGTACTACCCCAGACTCAATGCTTCATGCCAAATACAGTATCTACCCACCGGGTACCCCCAAACCTCAAGGCAGAATTCACAAGCTGAGTCTGCAGCAGTCCACAGGGAGCCTGGACAGTCCTCCTGGGGGTCAAGCCAGGTCCCGCTCACCCTGCTGTAACCATGGGGCTGGCCTGCTCCTTCCCCAGAGCTGGCTCCAGTCCGGGCAGGAGTGGGCAGCGGCTGGACAACCTCCCAGTCGGAACCCGGCTTCCACTCTGCCCTCTCAGGGCTCCCCACCTGTTCTGGGCAATCCGCTCTACCACCACCAAAGCAAGCCAAAAACAAAGAACTTGCAATGTTTGTGTTCTGCAGATCTGGCCTCTCAGGGCATGGACATCGTTTTAAACAACACGCTCTCAGAAAGATCTCTGCAGAGCCGGAGACATTCAAACATGGAACTTACGGTCTGTAATGACTATAAATATAATTCTGGTTCTCTCGTTCGTAAATCATCACTTGCTGTGGACATATATTAATATAACTTAACTGCAATGTGCCCTCATCAGGGTCCCAGAGAACTTTTTTCTTGGCACGCAAAGGTCACAGGAGGAGAGCAGTGGCATGGCGCCCAGAAAGACACCAGACCAAGGTCCAGAAGAGCTGGATGCGGAGCCTATGAGGCTGCTGGGTGACGGGCATGTCACTGTCTGTCTCTGTTTCCCATCCGCAAAATGGGGAATGACACTGCCCAATGCTCTCACCCACCTGAGGTCTAACGTGACAGCACGCAGGACAGATGGGCCACCCAAGCTCCAGGTCTCTGTGGATGCTGGCTCACTCTACCTTCAAGGCGTGACCACACTGTCCCAACCTGTCATTTGGGGGTTACATTCCCTGGACACTAGTAAGACTCCCCACACCCCTCGCCACGTCCTTCTTGATTTTGATGCACCCAGTTGGGTCGTTACTTAGAAGAAAAATTATTATTATTCTTAAAATTTTATTTATTTGAGAGAGAGAGAGAGCATGAACAGGGGGAGGGGCAGAGGCAGAGGAAGAAGCAGACCCTCTGCTGAGTGGGGAGCCCCACAAGGGGCTCAATCCCAGGACCCTGAGATCATGACCTGAGCCAAAATCAAGTCGGCCGCCTAACTGACTGAGCCACCCGGGTGCCCCAGGAGGAAAATTATTTTTAAGGCCCATTATGATGAAGGGGTTCCACGATTCACCTCGCCTCCTTCAGGCCCCAGGTTTCACAGATGCAGGAAAAAAGCTAATCCCTGCTCAGGCGACCAGCCCTGGACACGTCAACCTCAGGAGATGTGACCTGGCAAGGAAGCGGGGTCGTGGCTCAACATGGCCGAGCCGCATGGCCTGGCCGGCGGGTGCACGAGTGCGAGGCGGGTGTGAGGCCCATGTTCGGCTTCGGCGAGGGCGACCAAAGGACATCTGTGTAGTTAGATGTTCCCGTAAGTGAGGGCATGGAACTGGCTCGGGCAGAAGGTGGGGTACACGCAGCACCCATGGGACCCACCCTCGTGGTGCCAGGGCCTGTCTCTCCACAGACCCTTTGTGTTGCCCCCAGGGCCATCTTTTCTTAAATAAAGTCAGCGAAGAAGCACTAAGATCTTTAGAGAAAAGCAGAAGGGAGTCAACGGCCAGCACCCTCCTATAGCTGGGGTGCCTTCCCCGCTGAACCTGACACCCCCCCCCCAAGGGGAGCCCTTCCTGCTCTCGGCTCCTGGGCTGCAACAGAAGAGGCCACAGTGCAGATCCTACCACCTGGAAGGCGCTGGCCACACTGCCCAGGGACCACAGGTCCTGACCATGGAGGGTCACAGCAGCCCACTGTCACGGTGCTGCCCCCGCAGAGCTTCCCACTGCCACCGCTGCAGGATGCACAGAGAGCTCTGGCAACTCTGTCTTCCTGTGACTGTGCCCCCACCCCACCCCCAGCAGGCTCCAGTCAGCCAAGACTGTTCCTTCCAGATCTGTAAGTCACTGAGCAGACGGGGTAGCAGGCATTGAAGCCCGGAGCTGAGGTTTTGGGATCCCAGCGTGCACTGCTCCCAGGCAACTAGCTCCAGGTCCCGTCTGGTGATAGGTGGGCTGACCTGTCCTGAGAAGAAGCCCCTGGAGCCAGCGCTGGGCCACGGGGCCGAATCATGGCCAGCCCAGCTCTCTGGGCTCCTGACCAACAGGGAGCTGCTTGCTACTCCCCTGACAGCCATCTGGGACTCCAGGGAAAACGCAGGCCAGCAGCAGCGTATGTCAAGTCATCAAGAGGCACCACCGGAGCACAAGATCCGGAGACCACCAGAAACCATAATTTCCACTTTGTCTGCCATGAGCCCAATGTGTCCAAGCGGAACTGCTCCCCAGCCTGCAGGTGCCCCTCCCCACTCCAAGGTGCCCGGGTGCCCCAGCTGGCTGGCCTTCCCTCCCTCATCTGGACAGGAGCTCTCTGCTCAGAGACATGGTCTCAACAGCCGGGTTCATCCCAGGACCTGGTTCACATCTGCGTGTGCCCACCTGCCTCCTCAGGCTGTTTCATTGTTCACCCAGATCCACTAGGGGGAAATTCTAGAAACTCCTTCTAGAAGGAGATGTTCTCTTGGTGGTTCCCAAAGCAGGCAAAGGGGGGGTAAGGAGACACCAAAGACTCCATCACACAGAAAGGCATTTAGAAATGCCCATGGCCAGGGATTCAAACCATCTTGCCAAATGCAGGGAGCCCAGACGCCCCCCGCCCTGCTGAGAAACTCAGTAAGAGAGGAGGGCTTTATGGCTCTGGTCCTTTCCTCAGCAGGAACAGAAAGAGGGCAGGGGAAGAAGCTCCTGTCGCTAAGGCCAAGGCTCAGCCAGTTTGAGCAGACTCTCTCTTGAGGACTCCTGTGCTTTATTTCTTAGTTGTCCGGTCCCAACATGGGGTCCCAGCCTACATCCCCACCCTAGAGAAACAGGGTGGTCCCAGTTCAAAGGCACCAGGGGCAGAGCAGCATGGATGGGCTAGTGAGCGGCCTCGGACCAGCTCCTGCTGCCTCCTCTGCCACTCACCCTGCCCGGGGGCACCCGGAGGCAATCCAGAAGCTGGACTGCACACCACAGTCGAACTCCTGTCCAGCACAGCAAGAGGATGGATTGTCCAACAGGGTCCGATGGACTCCGCTGGGGGGGTTGATTAAAACACTAAGTGCTGTTTAAATGTTTAGTTGAACAAATATTTATTAAGCACCTACTCTATGCCAGGCACCGTCACCGCGTGTGGCTCCCACCGCACAGCCATCTGCTCCGAAATTAAAACCCGGGAAAGGAACGTTGTGCCAACCCTACACACCGGAGGTGGGAGGGAGCGGGCGGAGGGGAGGCAGGCGGGCCCTGCGCGCCCCCCGACACCTGTTCTTTCTCGACCAGCATCTACTAAGTTGCTGCTGGAAAGCATCTTGGTTCTGACCCAGAGGACAGCTGCTCCCCGTGCCCCCCGCCCCCGCACGGGCGCCCGGCCGACGCTCAAACACTCTGCGCGAAGGTGTAAAGGGTGTGCGTATTTGGATTAAAAAACACCTTGCTCAGTTGGTGCGGTTGCAACAGCCCTTGAGAAAGATACAACCGTCCCCGCCCTGACCGCGTGACCGCGGGCGGGGGACCCGGCGCGGGTTCCTGAGTCAGCGGCTTCCCGGGGTCCGCAGCCTGGCCGGGCCGGAGAGGCGAGAGCGACCGCACCACCCACCACCCGAGCGCAAACGCGACCCCGCCCCCGCCCCCGCCGACACCCGCTGGGCGGGGACAGAGGCACCGCCCATGGGAGGACGCCCCGCCCCCATCCCCGCCCCCGGCCGTCGGACACCCCGCCCTGCGCGGACAGAAGCACCGCCCACGGGAGGATGCCCCGCCCACCCCGCCCCCGGCCCGGGCCCTGCCCCTAGTTGTCGGACCCCAGCTTGGAGAGGCCGCGGCGGAAGTCGTGCAGGTCGTCGATCTTGCCGTCCAGCACCTCCAGGAAGCTCTTGAGCTCGACCTTGAGGTGGCGCTGGCGGTACTTACTCTCCTCGATGTCCGTCTTGAGGGACCGCACCTTGTCCTCTAGGTTCTGATTGTCTCTCTCTGCCGCCTGGAGGGAGACGAACGCGAGAAGGGCCTGGAGCGGAGCCAAGGGGGCGCGTCCGCCGAGACCCCGCCACAGCCCAGCTGTCCCCTCTCCCGGGCCTGTGACTGGGAACATCAGTGCAGAATGTGGGGCATCCCGGGCGCCCCGCTCTCCTGCCTGTTCCCCGGCCGAGGTGCTGACAGGCAGAGCGCAAGACCCACTCTGGCCTGGTAAAGGGCGGCCCTACACGGTGCAGAACTCAGGTCCTGCGGGGAGGAGCGGGCTGCAAGTGGGCCCTTTCACAAAGGCCCAGCAGACGAAATCTGCAGGCCCTCCTCCCAGAAGGGTCCGCAGAGGCCACACGTGAGCCCCGCTATGGGAGAGAGAAATGGGACAAACGCAGTGACTTGCTTCCTTGGTTCCACAGAGAGGCCCCCGCCTCCCTGTCCTCAGTGAGGCAGGATGAGCCGTGCCAGACTCCGGGCCAGCAGTCCCCGCTCTGGGACCAGGTGGTGTGACTGGGAAGCCAGTTGGGCTCCTCCTAAGGGCAGGGTGGCTTTGAGTCCCTAACGGAGGCATAGGCCGGCGCCCTCCACACCCAGTGAGGGGCTGACTTTCTGGGTTTAGAGGAACGAGTGACTGATACTGGGGTTGTACACCTGAGTAACGTGCTCCTGAAGTAGGGGGAGGTGAAAGAGGACATGATCAGGAATCTGAGGCCAGTGAGGGGCACCACTCAAGGTCATGTTCAAGGTCACTGGCTGGGGAGTAGAGAGGTGGCCCTGCTCTGGGTCTTACACTCTCTGCCCTGCCCTCACCCCGCTCCTCACGGCCCTAAGGCTCCATGGAGACTTCTGGGGGTGGGACACGGTCCCTGCACTATGGCTCTACACAGGCCACTTTGACAGAAGCACAAAAAGCACAAGCCAGTCTGCCCCCTGAGGGGGCAAAGATGGCATCGGTCGTGCAGGGACTGCGGGCTTCCCCTGACTAGAAAGTCACTCTTCTTTACCAGGAGGGCTGTGAGAAGGGAGGCCCCAGAGAAACGAGTAACACCATGGATGCCTTCTGGTCTGGGCCAACACGAAGGGAGGTGGCCCTCCTACCTCTAACTTCTCAGAGACGTATTCACACTCTGACATGAGCTGAGGTATGATTTCACTTTGTTTACGGAGGTCTTTCAATTCCTACAAGGGACGAAATTTGAAAAAGGATGTGAAAGCAAGTCAGATAAAACGTCTTCTTGAAAACCTTAAAAACCCACGATCTGTGTGTACATTAGCAGAAGCAGCTCTTGGAGTCTACACCATCCTCGGTAATAACAGAGGTGGTGGAGTCAGTACTCAGCACGCGGTAACCTCAAAGGCTGAGTGTGTCACGTGCGTTATCGCGGGAAGCTTGTACACCGCCACAAAGAGACAAGGGATTCTCAGCATCCCCATCTTCTAGGGAAACTGAGGCTGGGAGGCTTGGAGCCTGGTCCACAGTCTCCAGCGTCTGTGCACTTAGCAGTCCTGCGCCCCCTTCCCCCCAGAAAACAAACGCCCGCACAGAGGGGGCTCTTGCTGGCCACTTCCGAGGACAGATCACCTACAAATGTTTCCGACTGTTTCGTCAATGTCCGGCTCCCCCTTGCGTCCCAGCCTTGGTGCAGCTCTTGGCTCGCAGCCCCCCCACCCCGTGCTGCCATCCCCTCCCCACCGGGGCTGGTCACACCCCCCAACCCCAAGACACCTGCCGTGTCCCGGGAACACAGGGCCGGCGGGCGCCTCCACTCACCGTCTCCTTCTCCCGCAGCTCCGACTCCAGCTCCTCGATTCTCCTCTTGAGCTGCGTGTTCCTCTCCTTCTCCCGGTTTATCTCGCTGCACTGCTCCTCCAGCTCGTCAATCTGTGACACACCCGCAGGCTGAGGTCGGGAGGCTCCCCCACCCCGGCCTCACCACGGCTGTTTACGCTCTCTCAACGAACCATGAACTAACCCACTTATGCGTTGTTCCCTGTGGCTCCCCCGTGGGGCTGCCCGCCCTGCCCTGCGTGCACAAGACGCCCTGTCTAACGCCAGCAGAGCCACGGCAGTCACGAAACCTGGCCACGGGATGCTCCCGGCTTCCGGTTCCCGCTCACCGCCACAGGGAGGAACGGCACTTTGCTTTAAAGGACTTGTCTCGAGTAGGGACCAGGTGTCCCATGAATCTATCTGCTTCTTCCCATAATGACTTTTAATATCACTTGATCATGTCCTGAATTATTCTATTTCATCTGAAAGGTTTAAGACTGCAGGGAAGAGAACTGATCAACGCTGTGGGCCACCGGCCACCAAATGAGATGCAATGACAGTTCAAACATTTTAAACCCGGGTGACCTTTCCTTACTGACGCACGCAGGAGGGGCCTGGCCTGTGGCGAGCCTCCTCCGGGAGAGCTGAGAGGTACAGGCTGGACAGGCGAATCCCCAGAGTGCCTTCTCCTCCCCTTCCAAGGCCTGACCCCTCGGAAGGGGTTCAAAGGCCTCATAGCCTTGGCCTTGCGTTCCAACGCTGAGCGCTTCCCAGCGGCCAGAGCGTGTGTGCAGAGTACAAGGCAGAAGGGAACCAGCAATAACACCAAAGCCCCATACTGGTGGGGTCCCACAAGTAGGCGGGAGTCCTCAAGGCCGAGGGCGCTGGGTGGTCACGAGGACGACACTTTCAGAGGCAGCTGCACGCCAGCCCCCGGGGTCTGAACCCCCAGCCCCAGGAACCACTGGGGACTCCACCACCTTCTACCTGGTGTCCTGGAAATCAAGTTCCCAGTGCTTCCCAGTCAGGCAGCAAACTCTAAGGAGTGTACTTCCTCTCCTGCCCCGTCACACTCATGCAAAGGGACAGAGCCAGCTCCCTGCTTGGAAAGAAGACAGGGCATTCGGTCCCGCTGGCAGCCTGATCGGCCTGGCCCCGGCAGGGAACGCACGGAGTCAGCACTTGGCCTGGTGCCCTCGCGGTCAGCACTTGCAGCGTGGAAGTGAAACAATGACACGAGGCAGTTTTATGTGCCATCTGCAGCAAAGATGGGCGAGCACGGGAGTGGCCTCTGGTGGCCCCATTCAGGCTACACTCAGGGCAGCTTACAGATGGGGGGCCAGGGAGAGTGAAGACCTGTCTTGGGGTGATGTGTCCCCCTGCCACTTACAGGGTAGCCACTGCCCACGGCCTGCCAGACCAACGTGCTGAGTATCAAAGCATGGCCACACGGGACCCCGTGTGGGTCTCCATGGCGGATTTTCTGGCAGCGGTGGCGTGGCCGTCGGGCGGCACAGGGAACGCTCCTTGTGGTTCCCTGAATCTCTTGTCCTCGCTCACCCTCTGGATCCCTGTCCTCTACCCAAAATGAATGCACCACGGAGCGTGCCACGGGAGGGCCACCCCTGACCAGCATTGAGGGGTGAGGCCGGATGAAATCTGCTCACTCCCTCGTGTTCCTGCTCGGGAAAGCGGGGAGGTGGGGGGAGCGACAGCGACGCTTCGTCCTGCCGCGGGGAGGGGCGAGTGAGGGCGGCGGGACAAGCGAGGCGACGGGGACCCTGACGCCCAGGCACCCACCCTGCTCTGGAGCCGGTCGTTCTCGTCGCGGCAGGCGGAGAACTGCCTCTTCCACTGCTCCAGGCTGGCGGCCGACTCCTGCAGCGCCGTGGTCAGCCGGGCGTTGCTCTCCCGCAGGGTCTGCAGCTCCATCTCCCATTTCTTCACGTTGGCGGCACTGCGGGCGGGCCAGGCAGTGACCCGGACGCCAGGGGCCACCCGCCCCGCCTGACCCCACACCATACCCTGGGCCCCCCGCCGGCCACGGGGAGCAGGTGCCACGAAGGGCTGGAGCCTCTCTAGTGCCAACAGGTCACCTTGCCGGGCTGCTTTCTTAAAGAATCGCTTCAGGAAAGCACAAAACTCTTGGGGAAGGAGCAGCTGAATCTGGGAAGGAAGCCCTCGCTCCCTGCAGAGCCCCTGCCGAGACGCCGCTGTCCCGTCCCTTCCTGAAGCGAGCCCCAAGGTCGCAGGCTCTGAAACAGGCCCTCAAGGGTCTCAGGAATCGCTGACACCCAGGACCCTGGGGGTGACGGGTAGCCCAGCTCCACGTGACAACCTGTGCCTCCTCCCAGCCTGTAGGGAATCCAGAGCCGACGCCCAGAGGGCAGAGGGGACAGGGACTCTGTATCCCCCTGGCCGACCTCATGTCACCTCACGGGTGGGGGAGGTCCACAGGTCTGTGGGATGCCTCCATGCGACCAAAACAACCTCGCATTTGTCTTCCATCCTATGTGCTCCACAGAGGAGTAGTTTCAAGAAACAAACTGCAATTGGGCTCCCCTCAGGGGCTGGTGACTTTCATGGTCCTTCTGCCTCCTGGCTTTGCAGCCCACACGTGCGCGGAGCTGCAGGTGCCCCGAGGCCAGAGCTGCATAGGACACKCAGGACACGTGGACATGCAGGACATGTGGGCACACAGGAAACACAGGACATGTGAGCACACAGGACACATGGGCATGCAGGACACACAGACACGCAGGACATGTAAGACACGTAAGACACAAGGACACATAGGACCCGCAAGACACGCAGGGCATACAGGACATGTGGGCACACAGGACATGTGGGCACACAGAACATGCAGGACACGTGGGCATAGAGGACACGCAAGACACAGGACACACAGGACGTGTGGGCACACAGGACACATGGACACACGGACACAGAACATGTGGGTACACAGGATACGCAAGACATGCAGGATCCACAGGACACAAAAGACAAACAGGACATGCAAGACACATAAGACACAAGGACATGCAGGACCCGCAAGACACGCAGGGCATTCAGGACACGTAGGCACACAGGACACATGGACACACAGACATGTGGGCACACAGTGCACATAGGACACGTGGGCACGCAGGACACGCAAGATCCATAGGACATACAGGACAGCATGACACATGGACACTCCAGACATGTAGGCATGCAGGACACGCAAGACACACAGGACACACAGGACCCGCAGGACACACAGGACATGTGGACACACAGACACGTGGGCACACAGGACACACCCCACTCAAAGTGTCCGGCTTCTAATCAATCCAGCCTGGCTGATGTCACTTCTGTCTCTAAAGGCCTTTTTTTGTGGGGGGGGGTAAGTAAATAGGAATGTTTCTCAATGACCTGTGTTCTCCTCCATCCCACAGCCTCAAGGACAGAGGAACGTGACTAGAAATACAAGCTTTCAGTTTCAAACACCACAGGCAAAAAATAGCAAGATGGAATCTGGTTAATCTCAGAACTCATGATTGAGAATTTAAGCTGCTTTAGGGAAATGGCTTCACACCCATTCCTAGAATGCCCTTGCTCATTAAGTTGGGATTTAAAAACCTTTATTTTTAGGGGTGAAACGTTTTCATCCAACAGCATCTTGTGTCTTAAACAACAAAAGAGTGAAAAGCAGGCAGGACGGTGGGGAAATTGCCTTGACATGTGACCTTAGGCAAGGACTCATTTTACCACTGAGACTCAGTTTCCTCAGTTTACTCCTGTAAAATGGAGTTAATGAGATCCAGCTTTTTAATGGGGCAAGTCTGGGGAGAGCAGCTTCTCAGCCACAGAAAGGCTGGGGGGAGCTGGCCAAGCCCCCGCCTGGGGTGAGGACAGCACGATTCCCAAGGACAGCCGCTCTGAGCGGGCTCTCAGGGCCAGCCCAGCCGTCGGGAAATGGGCCACACTCTCAAGACAGGAAAATGTAAGCACAGCCTGTGTAGTCATTAAAAATTAAAATCATGTTGATCTTATTATGGGGACTGTGTTAAATTTATGCATCCATTTATAGGAAATGGATTCTTTTTAAACTATGAAGACATTTCTATCACTTCCCAATAGAATATATCTTTCTATTTGTTAAGTTATTCATTTATGGCCCTCAAAATCAGTTTAAAACTTTCCTCACGGAGATTCTGTGCCCTTAAGTTTTCTGTATTTATGTTTCTAGTTCATGTAATTGATGGTTTTAGTTCGTATCACAAAGGAATTTCTCATCTTCAAATACATATTTTATGTGATGCTTGTTTGTATCTAGAAAAGCTATTAATTTTTGTGAGAGGTTGTATTCTTAATAGTTAGTTTCTTATAGATTTTTCTTGGATGTTTGAGACTCAGTCTTATTCTGTACAAATCAATGATATATTTGTTTCCTCAAAAAACCAGAACAAAACAGAAGCACAGGGACCAGTCTCTCTCACACTTGCGTAGACACACACACACCCCTGTTTCACACACTCAGAAATCTCGCACATACCCGGGCAGGCACACACGCTCCTGGTCTGGGCGGTCAGACAGAGAACAGCCATGAAGCCAGCTGGCCTTCCTCTGGCCCGGAGACAAGACCAGACACTCAGAGCAGGACCTGGTCTCCTCGTGAAACCCCGCCTGGCGGGAAAGGCCGCGGGAGGCACTGACCTTGGGAAAAGGCCGAGTGGATTGTAAACAGCCGTACCTCTGTGTCAAGGCGATCTTCAGCTTGTCGTTCTCAGACTTGAGCTGTGCGTCAGCAGGACCCACATGAGAGGCCTTTTCATCGTCTGTCCCGTTGACGCTGGACACCTGAGTAGAAGACGGGGTTTCACACCCAGGTTCCGGGCCAAAGTGAGTCACCTTCACACCGGATTTGCTCATAGTAGCAGCAGGTCAGGCATAATGAGAAAGTGTGTTCATGAGCGGGGGACGACCAACTCGTCAGACCAGAACGCGGCAGAGACCAGCACGAGAGGCTAGCAATCATTCAATTCTACCTCGGAAACTTAATTTTAAAAACTGGGGTGGGGGGGGCACCTGGGTGGCTCGGTCAGTTAAGTGTCTGCCTTCGGCTCAGGTCATGATCCCAGGGTCCTGGGATCGAGCCCCACATTGGGCTCTCTGCTCAGCGGGGAGCCTGCTTCTCCCTGTGCAGCAGCCTGTGCTCATGTTCTCTCTCTCTGTATCTCTCTGTCTCAAATAAATAAATAAAATCCGTGAAAAAAAGTTGTTAAAAAAAAAAAAAGACCCAAGGAAAAGGCCCGGAGGAGTCCAGGGAAAGCTGAGAAAGCGTGTGAACCTTCCTGACCAGAGCACACTTCCGTCGTGGTACCCCACTCCACAGAGCCACCAGACAAGCCTGAATACCCGGTTTCCCTTATTCAACACCAAAGCCACGGAGGAGAGGGGAGTGGGGTTTACAACAGGGAACAAGAAAGTGTGAGTGAGGAAAAGAGAAAAAGTATCAGAAATAGGGACAACCTATAGCCCCTGGGGCCAGAGAGAGCAAGACGCGCGAAACCAGCAGGGACGAGCTGTGGATGTGTGTGTGGCCCCCATGGCTCGTCAGCTTTATTATAAATATTCTGAAATATTTCCTGTAATAAGTCATGCCACAGGGCGGTGAAATCTCATTTGCTCTTGGAGAAGATCTTAGATCTTGGCCTCCACTGAGCGTAAAGGCAAAGGAAAGAACCACGGAGGGAACGATGCCTACATTTGACTAACACTGAATTTCTGCACTGGAAAAAAACAAAATGCCGTAAACAAAATTAAAAATGCACAAAAACCTGGGGAAAATATCGGCTGCCGAACATTTGCATATATGAAAAACAAGATGTTAATACATTTCGTATCTGAAAACCTTTTAGAGGCCTTGTCTTTTTAGAGCCACATGCTGATGTAGTTACGGATGAAATGATGTTTGAGATTTGCTTGAAATTCAGGGGGAGGTGGAGGGGGGCACCAAGCAAACAATTGATCATAAATTCCTAATTGTTTAAAGCTGATCTGTGTGTTGCATGGGGGTTCATTATACAATTCTGCCTATCTTTGAGTATGTTCAAAAATAAACATGTTAAAAAATAAAATTCTTAGAAAGCAACACAAAAAGGGGCACCTGGGTGGCTCAGTCGGTTAAGCCTCTGCCTTTGGCTCAGGTCATGATCCCAGGGTCCTGGGATCAAGCCCCCGAGTCAGGCTCCTTGCTCAACGGGGAGTCTGATTCTCCCTTTCTCTCTGCCTGCCTCTTCCCCACTCCTATCCCCTCTTGTGTTCATGCTCTCTCGCTCTCTCTCAAATAAATAAAATCTCAAAAAAAAGTCAACACAAAAAGATGAATACTTTGATTTTTTTAAAAAAGGAAAAATATACATAATTGACATTTACAGAAGAAGAAATGGATAGAATCAATCGACACAAAAAATATTTAATCTCACTGGTAAAGAAACGTGAAATGAAAAAAGCCAACAGAATATATTTTCCTGCTGTCAAGTCAACAAAGCTTTGTTGGTGAGAGTGTGGGAGGAAAAAATTGTTCTCAGGCCCTGCTGGTGGGAGTCAGAATCATACATTTCTATAGGCTAAGTCTGCAGTGTTTGTCAAAAGCTTTTAAAATGTCACTACCTTTTAACCTAATACTTGCGTCTCAAGAATTTATCCTATAGAAATTACCAAATGCAGAGATGTACAAAGACACTGATCACAGGGTCATTTATATTCCTGAAAATTAGAAATCACATCGATGTCCCAAAGTGTGGGTTAATGGAATATGTTGCTATACAGACAAATGCTAGCCATTAAGGTAGTTTTGAAAAGGGATATTTGAAAACACAGGGGAATGATCATGAAATATAAAGTAGAAAGGTTGGGGCGCCTGGGGGGGCTCCGTCGGTTAAGCATCTGCTTTCGGCTCAGGTCATGATCCCAGCGTCCTAGGATTGAGCCCCACATCAGGCTCCCTGCTCAGCGGGAAGCCTGCTCCTCCCTCTCCCACTCCCCCTGCTTCTGCTCCCTCTCTCGCTATCGCCCTCTGTCAAATAAATACATAAAATCTTAAAAAAAAAAAAAAAGTAAAAAGGTTAAAAAAAGATATAAAAATATATTACAAAATTGTTATCAGGAACACACCTAAACATGAACAGTGTCTTTGTGTGGTGAGAAAGCAGGTCGTTCCCATTCTCCTGTTTAGACTACCGCACGGTTTTTATTTCTACGGTAAATAGTATTGCTTTCACCTTCAGGATAAGACCCATGTAAGATGTTTTAAGATCTTCAAATATTTGGAAAACTTGCCCAAAGTGTTCATTTCCCTAAGAGATTCAGGAAAGCAAGCAAATGTATGTTTTCCAATAAAAATGCACAGGAAAGGGGCGCCTGGGTGGCTCAGTGGGTTAAGCCTCTGCCTTCGGCTCAGGTCATGATCCCAGGGTCCTGGGATGGAGCCCCGCATCGGGCTCTCTGCTCAGCAGGGAGCCTGCTTCCTCCTCTCTCTCTGCCTGCCTCTCTGCCTACTTGTGATCTCTGTCTGTCAAATAAATAAATAAAATCTTTAAAAAAAATGCACAGAAAAATGGACAATGATCTCGACATTTGGGGAAACGTCAGGAAGATAAATGAAAACTAAAGCTTAGAGACAAAAAAACTGACAGATAATTAATAAATATATATAAAATAGCACCTTAGGGATATAGTTGTTTCTTTTTAAGGTTTATGCTTTTTTGGGGGGGACGCCAACCGGCTTAGTCGGTTAAGCAGCTGCCTTCAGCTCAAGTCCTGATCCTAGCTAGGGTCTTGGGATTGAGCCCCACATCCGGCTCCCTGCTCAGCAGGGAGCCTGCTTCTCCCTCTCCCTCTGCTTGCTGCTCCCTCTGCTTGTGTACTCTGTGTCAAGTAAATAAGTAAAATCTTAAAAAAAAAAAAAAACCTTTTTGGGGGGTATACCTGGGTGGCTCAGTCAGTTAAGTGTCTGACTTTTTTTTTTTTTTTAAGATTTTCTTTATTTATTTGACAGACAGAGATCACAAGCAGGCAGAGAAAGAGGAGGAAGCAGGCTCCCCGATGAGCCGGGAGCCCGATGCTGGGCTCGATCCCAGGACCCTGGGATCATGACCTGAGCCGAAGGCAGAGGCTTAACCCACTGAGCCACCCAGGCGCCCCTAAGCATCTGACTCTTGATTTCACCTCAGGTCATGATCTCAGGGTCGTGAGACAGAGCCCCACTATGGGCTCCACACAGCAGGGAGCCTGCTTAAGATTCTCCCTCTCCTTCTGTCCCTCCCTCCATGCCCAGGCTTTCTCTCAAATGGCTAAATAAACCTTTGAAAAATTAAAAAAAAAATACTTTTTTGGTAAAAACAAACATTAAAACGGAAACCTTACATAAAGAACTTCTGATTATGAAGTTCAAGGATGCTTCTATAATACGTGGTATTCAGAAAAAGATCATGTATTAGAAACTCTTTAGGTTATGGACCATTGCCCATATCCAATTTTATAGGTCTTCAGCGATTTACTCAGTATGGTAATTAGTATATGAAATTAAGAGCATCATTCAGATCATATTAAAGATTCTTTAGAAAGATTCAGGAAAGTTCCTGTCCACCTGAAGCCTAATACACATTCCATAAATTCACACGGGGCATCTTTCATCTGACGAGCCAGGACAGGCACTGGGAAATCCCGGGTCCTCAGGGCCAGCCTAGGCAGCAGACAAACGCAGGGCCCTGCCTGCGGAGTGCGCTCCTGCCTCGGGTTCGGTGACGGGGAGAGGTCTCCTTCTCTGCAGTCTTCCGGGGCTCTCTTCCCACAGCTGGGTGCATTTCCCAAGGCTCTAGCTTTGCCCTCCTTTCCCCACTGCTTCTTTCTTTCTTTACTGTTTTAGATTTTATTGATCTATTTGCCAGAGAGAAAGCGCAAGCAGGGGGAGCAGCAGGCAGAGGGAGAAGCAGGCGCCCTGTAGAGCAGGAAGCCGGATATGGGACTCGATCCCAGGACCCTGGGATCATGACCTGAGCTTAAGGCAGACGCTTAACCGACTGAGCCCCCCAGGCACCAGCCCCCCACACTGCTTCTTGGTATACCCAAGGCTTCAGCTATTATTTCTTCAAAGCAGACGGTCATCTCAAAAATCTCCAACTTGACAGCCCAGTGCCCGGGCTGTCCCCAACCTCCACCCCTTCCTCTTTACCCCCGGGGCTGTGTCCTTGCCAATCTGCCCGCTGTCTGTCACTCCGACTTCCTTCCCACCTGCAAAAGCAACCCTCATGTCGATTCCAGAGAAACCATCACGCAACACCTCCAATGTCTGCCCAACGACCCAATAACAATTAAGTAAATAATAATAAATAAACTAGAAGTGAAGAATCTCTAAGCACATCTCTAATTCCTCCCACAGCGCACCCTGCTCCCGCCAGGCAGACTCCCGGCCGTCTTGCTGCTGCACCGTGCTTAGTCCTAACCCCGAACCTTCCCCGCAATGTCTCCTGTTCCCTTGTCTCTCGGCGCAGAACCTTACCCCTCAGTCAGGCCTTCTGCGCACCATAACAGACGCCAAACCAGACATCAAGAATGCAGGGATTTTTACTTTGGGTTAAAAGAGATTCCTTTTGGTCAATCATCACACTTTCAAGTAGACAGAACACTCAATTTCTGGCAAAGCCACATCTCCTTCGCTAAATCCAGAGCTGCTGGAACACCATCTCCCGTCCAACTTTATTAAAACATAAAGACAGACGGGCGCCTGGGTGGCTCACTGGGTTAAGCCTCTGCCTTCGGCTCAGGTCATGATCTCAGGGTCCTGGGATCGAGCCCCGCATCGGGCTCTCTGCTCAGTGGGGAACCTGCTCCCCCCTCTCTCTCTCTGCCTGCCTCTCTGCCTACTTGTGATCTCTGTCAAATAAATAAATAAAATCTTAAAAAAAAAAGTTTACTTCTCCTTTCTCTCTTTAAAAACAAAACAAAACAAAACAAAACAGAGGCCGGGGTTCTCTAGCATCAACCACGTTTTCTGTGTCACGGGCACAAGGCACCGTATTCTCGAGGCGCACATCCCAGCACAAGAGGGGAACACCCTGCTTCTCTCTGGTGCGGAAACACAGTGACAGAAAATGCCTCTGAGGAGCCAGGGGTGTGCAGCGGTTCTAATCTTTCTGTCAAAAATACACCAGCACATCTGGAAAATCCGAGTCTCGTGCGAACATGTCTTATCCACCTCAGCGGGAGCATGCGAGCCGCCAGAAGAGCCTTCAAAATGCCCTCCTGCCACAAGTCCCTATTTCTTGTCAAAGGTGACAAGGAACAGAGAGTCCCACTTACTGATCCCACGCCAGATTTATTTTGTGCACAAATTACGTACCTGGGAATGGTTGCTCGAGGTCTCGATTTTCTCCTGGGACTTGTCTCTGGCCAGCCTGGCCGCTTCTTTCACCTCCTGGAACTTCTCTGCAAACTGACCGCGAACAGGAGTTACTGGGGTTGTTCTCGGCCCCGCGCGCGCTGGTTTTCAGAACCCACCTTCAGTGCTTTGCACTCATTTTAAGTCAATAAACCGTATAAATCCAGAAGATGATTTTATTTGAGATGAAAAAGAAATGCACATAAGGAATGCTTCTTCCAGCAAACTCCCAGCCAAGGTCAGATCCAAATTGCTTTTTTAAAGATTTATTTATTTTAAAGAGAGAGCACCCATGGGCATGGGGGAGGGGCAGAAGCAGAGAGGGACCTCAAGCTGATTCGCCGACTCCCTGCTGAGCGCGGAGACTGACGCGGGGCTCGATCCCAGGACCTTAGATCATGACCCCAGCTGAAACCAAGAGTGGGCTGCGTAACTGAGCCCCCCGGGCGCCCCGATCTGATCTGATCTCTTCCAGGCTGCTGAAGCTAGTTTAATAATGAAGCAGTAAAAACAAGCGCTTCCCATGGCAGGAACATAAGTGTAGCTGCATCACAGAAGGGTCCACCCTAAACTTCACCATCACTATGGAAAGATCCAAGAACTCCTACAATATGATGGAAACCAACAAGATCAAGAGTTGGGGAGAAGGCACTGTTCGAGATTTTAAAAGCTTAAGATATAAAATAGCAAAATGCAAAACAGCAAAAGGCAACATGTAGCCTATGACCGTATCCTGTGCTGAACAGACCATCTGTAACTGGGGGGAAACTGGGGTGCTTGGGTGGCTTGGTCAGCTGAGTGTCAGGCTCTTGGTTTTGGCTCAGGTTAAGATCTCAGGGTCATGGCATTGAGTCCTGCATCAGGCTCTGCGTTCAGTGTGGAGTCTGCTTCAGATTCTCTCTCCCTCTGCCCCTCCCTACACATACTCTCTCTCTCAAATGAATAAATTAAAAAAAAAATCCAATGATGTCATGGTTATGAGGGAAAACGTCATTATTTTTTTAGAGACAGATACTGAAATCTTTTGCTGTCTGCAGTGTCCTTGAAAGTACTTCAACAGGGGTGCCTGGGTGGCTCAGTGGGTTAAGCCTCTGCCTTCGGCTCAGGTCATGATCTCAGGGTCCTGGGAGCGAGCCCTGCATCGGGCTCTCTGCTCAGTAGGGAGCCTGCTTCCCCTTCACTCTTTCCCTGCCTCTCTGCCTACTTGTGATCTCTGTGTCAAATAAATAAATAAAATCTTTAAAAAAAAAAAGACTTCAAAAACAATAAAAGAGAGGAAGAAATGTGGAAACTGTTAATAAGCACTGAACCTAGTGATATGTATATGGGGGTTGATTATATGATGCTCTCTACCTTTAAAAAAACTGATTCTAATATCTCCATGCTAAAAAACATCCTTCAAATGCCAGGGCGATCAAATCAATCACAGGCTTATGGATACAGACAAGGCAACTGATTTTAATTAGCAAATACACAGTTGGAGCAGAGAACATCCTGGGAGGGCGGTGTCGGCATCACAAAGCAAGAGAGAGCGGAGTGCGGTTGCCGGGCACAGGGAGCTGGCAGGGAGCAGGGCTGCCAACAGTTCTAGGGCTTCTGCTGAGAACACATTAACTCCGGAGCGCGGGCTACCCTCTGACTACCGGCTTGGCGCAGGTGGCAGCGGTCTGCTTTGGGAAACCTCGCCGGATGACAGACCCCGGGGAACGATGTGCCCTGGCTGGCGCGGGAGAGGTCAGCCCTTCTGTTCTGACCCGTGTTGCTCCTGCAGGACCAGAAATACAGCCAGAGCCACGGGGTTTTGTATGTAGCCGCCCCACAGCTGTCGGAGGAAAACCACATGACTTGGGTAACACATGTGAGGTCCAGCAGGGATGGACAGAGCCCCTCCCCGGCCTGCTTCCTTTTTGGGGGCCCTTAAAGTGAACACCTTATGTAGAGACTCCTTGAGGGCGGGCTCCATGCCTTTCCCCTCGGCCTCCTCGCCAGTACCTGCAGGAAGCAGATGCAAGTCGGTTTGTTGGGTGAATGAAGGACTCTGGGTTCCAGACAGACGCCCCCTCCCCTGACCACTTGAGAACAGATCATGTCAAAGGCACGGGTCTAGCCTAAGAAGGGCGCAGCTCTTCCTTCGCTGGACAGATGAGAAAGCGCTCAGCGAGGAACTGTGGTTTGGTGTCTGGGAGCACCCCACTCCCTCCTCCTGCTTCCTCAGCTGACCCGACCGGATCCCCCTGAGAGCAAGGCTGGGCTTCCCTCAGAACATGAACATGGGCCCAGGAAAGGTTTTTTGCAGGCACCATAAAGGCCTTATTAAGACATTAAAGGCCTTATTATCTTATTAAGACATTAAAAGACTGGATTTTTAAAGGTCTTATTGTCAGTGTTTTTGTATCCAGTATCAATTAAAAGTCAAATGTGACTTGGAGGAAGCTGTAAGAGACCCCCTTGCTGACTGAGTCTCAGCCACACTGGACGCAGTAATTGGGGGGGGACGCCTCTCCCCCCGCAAGCCTCTCCAACCAGAAGCGCTTTCTCACAGATCCTTCCTGTCCCCGCCAGAGTCCCTTTCTCTCATGGGTCTTATTTGAAGTTGCTTCTAGACCACATTGGAGACGTCATTAACTAGCATCACGCTCATTCAGTCAACAAACAGTCCAAGGAGCCCTTGCTCCTTCAGGGAACAAGTGTTTTCCACCGTCCCTGAGCCAGGTCGCGCACAAAGCTGGGTGCCGGGGCGAGTACATTGTGCAGCCAGATGCAGCTCTGCCTCCCAGCAGGCCAAGAGCTGAGTAGAAGACACCGGCAACCAAGTCAGTATGTAAAATTCTGCCAGGCTTTGACAGAGCCAGTCGCTTCTGGACAGAGCTTGGGGCCTCCATTCCCTCTTTCTCCTACTTCACCCTGACCATCCCTACCTGGTGAAGACCTTGGTTCTACTCTTGGAGACCCTAAGCCTAGGGTATCGACCTTCAGCTCCAATGGCTTCTTCCTCCTCTGTCCCGGACACCCCTTCGTGGCCCTACCCTCCTCCCCTGGGCCCACAGGACAACCACATCTATATGTTAACGAGTTTAATGGCTTCTTAACTCATGTTCTCTCTTGGGCTCCTCACCACTACTCTGTAGGACGGGGATTCTCATCTATCGTTTCCAGATGAGAAAGGGCAGCCTTAGGTTGGTCAAGCCCGTGATCATACAGCTAATAAATGTAAACCTGAACTTGGGCCCAGGTCCATCTTCCATGCCTCCAGTTACCGTCTTGTGCCAACAAGGATGCCGAAAGTCTTGCCCGTGGCAGTTGCTAAGTATTTACCGATTAGATTTTCCATTCGCAAAGAGAAGCCCCGTTACCTTAAAATGTAAGATAGAATCGTACTGGCTCCCTCTTTCAAAGAAAATTACCTGTCAAAGCTTCAACTTGAAATAGGCCATGGGGACCTTGAAGGCCAAGACAGGCCGGAGGCAAAGAATACCGACATGGAGCGGGGGCCCCGACCAGCTCCATTCCTATCCTCCGCTCCATCGAGCCACTGTCCTTCTCAGTTGCAGAAGGGAGACTGCGAACAGCTGTCACACGGACGTCTATAACATACATCCCCACAGGACTGCAAAGTGATGGTGTCATTCCCAGTAATGACTGCCTCGAACATCTCAGCAAAGGGAAAAGGACACACACTCTTGGCTCACAGGGATGTGAAGAGAAGAGGTGCCGGAGTGGCTGGTCTCACTGCGGTCACGGCCACGCTCGGGTGCTCGGGATACCAAGAAGGACGGCGTGGAGGGGGGTCTCATAAGCGCCAGCATCACACAGGCCATCGGACACCGACACCGGACACTACGTGTGCTGAGATCTACCTTCTTCCTGGCTAGCTCAGGCAAGCTGCTCAGCTCCGACCCTCACCAGCCTTTCGAACGCAAGCAGCTGAACCATGCCGAGCCCCGGCTGCCTCCTCTGTGCAACGGCCCAACGAAGCACCTCGGCACCACCAGAGGAGAAGAGATGCGGCTTTGCTGGGTGTGCGGCAGGGGCACAGCAAAGGGAACTTGGGCTTCTCTGGCCTTCATTTGGTTAATTTCTTCAAGTAAAAAATGAAAGTGAAAAAGCCAGGAAACCATGACCTTTAGTAAGAGAGCGCCATAAAATTCATTCATTCAGAAACAGGAACTCGTTATGGCTACGTGCCAGAGGCTGTTCTGGGGACACCGAGATACGCAAGAAAGATTGGGTTTCTGTCCCCAGAGAAACTCTGACTTTGTAGAGGGTTTGGTTTTACACTCAAATGGGTGAGAATCAGAAAGAAAATTCCAGAAGATAAGCTTAAAATGCAATAAAGTAGGATAAACCCTATCAGATAAATTTTAAATAAAAAATCGTTCTAAAAGATGGGCTATCAGTAGACGCACGACGGAAACGGACCAGACCATTGATATCAGCGTGAGCTGGTGACAGAGGAGGAATCTTCCACGGAAGGGGAGAAATGATTCGATGCATAACGCGTGATACAACTTCAGTAAACAGAGGGAAATGAGTTTAAATCCTTACTACAAACGAGGAGCAAGATACATTTTCAGTGAGGTAAAGGGGTAAGCATGTTTTTAAAAAATCTGCATGCGTGGGGCGCCTGGGTGGCTCAGTCAGCTAAGTGTTTGCCTTCCACTCGGGTCATGATCCCAGAGTCCTGGGATCCAGCCCCGCCATCAGGTTCCCTGCTCAGAGGGGAGCCTGCTTCTCCCTCTGCCTCTGCCGGCCGCTCCCCCTGCATTCTCTCTCTCTCTCTCTTTGTCACATAAATAAATAAAATCTACAAAAAAATAAAATAAAAATAAAAATCTGGATGCAAACAGAATTGAACATGTATCAAACTCCTGCTTGAAGGGTGAGAGGGTAATTATCTAAACTTGGAAGAAATAAAAGAAAAATCACGGGAGTGACAGACTCGACTACACAACCATTTAAAGCTTTTGAACAGGAAAGGGGAAAAACATGAAATCAGAAGGGAAACAGCCACTGGAGGGGGTAATATCTGGAGCTAGGCCGGCACCCTGTTCTCT